GGCGCGGGAGCTCCCGGGCATCGCCCGGCCCTGAGCGCCCCGAGGGGCCGTGTCGCACCCCCGAGAGCCGCCCCCCGCCCCTCGCCGCTTCCAGCGTCGCGGCGTTACCTGCGGTTGTGGAAAAAGCCGCGGCTGTGGGTTGTTTCACCATCACCTGTGACGTTCAGGGATGCTGCAACTGGGGGTCGCTTCAGCGTTACCGGCAGTGCTGATTAACGTTTCGTCACAAGACACGGCACCTCGGCTTGCCACAGAAGTGCGCTAGCATTTACTCCTCAAGCACCGGTGGAGACTTTTGGCACAGGTACTACGTCACTCGCGCATCTTGCGGGTCCAAACCAGCCCCAGCCCAAAAGAAAACCCACGCTCTGTCCCGCTGTGTCATCTCACAACCAACCAACACCGTGTTATTAAGTCAAGATCACAGGGAGAATAAATAGAAAGTCGGTCGTTTTGGTCAACACACGTAACGATCATGTGAAAGAGGAAAGTTAATAGGAGCACATTGTTTTTATCCATAGTCTCAGATTTGGGGATTTTTTTTTTTTTTTTTTTTTTTTTGTTTGTTTTTAAACAGATGTTGCCAAATAGTTTTGATCTTGAATCACACATACCTTAAAACAGCTCACAACCTTTTGAGGAACAGCCCCCAGGCTATAAACCCTTACATTACTAAAGCAGCCTCCTTGTTGTTAGCTGCCAAACAATAGCCATTGTTCCTGTAGGATCTAGCCAAAAATAATACGATGTGCAACTGCCTTCCCACTGTTGTCTTTGCAAAAGCACTTATAAGTTCCAGAGATGACTTTACGGATGGTGTACAGCACAAACAAACCCAAAAAGGAGCAGAACAACTTGAAAAGCATGTAGAAACATTGGAAGTGGGTGGAGCAGGAATAAGAAAGTGGCAGGGGATGGAAGAGAGAAAAACATGAGGAAGAGTTCATATTAAAAGATATTGAAGTGTTTAAGCTATGCAGTTGTTTTTATGTTGTGTAAGTGAAAACAAAACACAAATATCTGAGTATTCTATCCATGTGCTCATATCACTAAAATCTGTTATTCTTGAGCAGGGTGGTTGCACAATTGCACCTTAAATGGTGCTTTTATGCCACTGATTTTAGAAAGAAAATGAGTTGCAAAGAGGGAAAAAGATACAGAAGGCTCAAGTAGTTTTCTCTTTTAGGATGTTTTCCCCTTTCTTCAACTTTTACTACACCTTTGCCAGTTTTGGTTCTCAAGAAACAAACGTTACTTTGAATGACTATTTCTGAAGGAACATAAAATGGCTACCCCTCCTGGCTGAGGAAAAAAGATTTGAAGATGAAATATCTGGAAATCATAGGGATCACAGACACGCAGCTAAATATACATAGCCTCTGACTTATGGGCGGTTTGTGCTGATTTCAAAATTTTGCAGAAAAGCATACAGGGGAAAAAGAAAAAAGAATAAAGGGAGTTATTTCAAAGTGCCTCTTTAATAACTGAATTTATTTCCTACATGCAGTTTGAAAAATACCAGTGAAGGATCAGCTTAGCTTTTCTGCTATCAATAGTCCAGGCCACAGCAGAGGCATCTCGGTGAACCAGTGGA